ATAATTTTAATAAATGACAAATTAAAAAGGCATGAACATTTTTTTGTATCGAAAAAATATCGAACCGTGACACCAAAGTATCGAACCGAACCGAACCGTGAATTTTGTGTATCGTTGCACCCCTAATATATATATATATATATATTACCTGATGTAGCCACAGCACATTTGACCTCAACAGTTACATTAACTGTCACTGTCCTCAAACCAGAATCTGAAACACAATTCACAGCTTCAGTTTAATGCATGTGAAAGGTTTTTTTTATTTATAAGCTTCATGTGAATGAATATGAGTACATTTTAACTGTCACGATCTGGGGGGGCAGACCGTGTGTGGGAGGGGAAGTGGAGACTCTTCCCCTGATCACAACTGACTAGAATGAAACATAATGACACGGGGAGTGTAAAACTAACCACATGAACACAGAACTAAAGACCCGTTTCAAAATAAAACAAGACCTAAAACACATGACAGACTAGAGCAGGAACGAAACACAGAAACAAAGGAGACAGATGATAAAAATAAATAAATCACTAACTTAAACCTCCAATAAACCCTAAATAAGAATAACACACAAACGTATAATCACCACACCAAAATGATAACTTCAAAATTACAAAAAAGGACTCAGAACGCCAGCCTGTGACAATTAACACATGTAAACAGAGCATAATAAACATAATTTACCTGATTTAGATGTAGCCCCAGAAGTTTTCGCCTCATCAGTTTCTTTAACCATCGCAATCTTCACAATACTCCCTGAACCACAAATCGCAGCTTCAGTTTAACACGTATGAAAGGTTTTCTAAATAGGTTTCAGTGTTGGGGATTAACAGAATACATTTACCACAGTAACATATTTAAAATACAAAATATAAGTAACTGTAAAAGGTGGTATTTAGAATACAGTAAATTTGTTGAAATAAAAGGATTACACGGCGGTCTTTTCCCATTTCATATGTTAGGCTATGCCCTCTCTATTGTTGGTAATTCCACGACATGTAAATATAATAATAACCACTGCAGCCAAAAAGAGTGCCTGACGAGCCCAGTTGTAAGCAGTGTAGGGACTAATGCGTTATTAAGTAACGCGTTACAGTAACTACGTTATTATTGTGGTAACGAGCACAGTAACTAGTTATTATGCAAAAATCAGGAATGCGTTAATCGCTACTGGGATTTAGATAGGGTCGTTATTCATTACTTCGTGTGGTGGCTATCACGGAGCTTCCACAGATTCAGTAACATTAGCAAATAGTGGAGCACAGCAGGTGGATGAGGGTCGCAGGAGGAGGAGAGACCCGAGGCGGCCGCTGGTTCAAGTGTCAGGTGAACTGAACTTCAGGTAAGAAGTTATGACCTGCAGTCTATCTGGGTCAGATATAAACCAAGTTTTTGTTATGCTGCCCTTTTCGTACTGGGTACTACCCAGCATGACGGAGTTTCTATACAGCTGGGTGGGTGCTATGATGTTATTGATGATGAACTTTATTTTGTTCATAAGGTTAGTTAGTAGAGTTGCCAACCATCCCCTGAAAAACGGAATTGTTTCGTATTCAGAGAAAATATTACGCGTTTCGTATTGAGGTGAAAAGGAACAGAGTTTGTCCCGTAATTCAGCTACAATGAAAAAGACAAAGCTGGAGTTATTCTGTCTTTTCTGTCAGCTGCCTCTTCTCCTCTCATTCTCTCCCCTCCCTCTCCTGTTTCTACTTCAATCGTCAAACTGATCAATGATCAACTGATCGGCTTTCCTCTCTTGTTTGTTTATCGTCCACTTTGCGCCAGAAAGAGGAAACCAGCGGATGTCGCGTTAAACAACAGCAGCACGTTTAAGCTTGATCAGCTGTTGTTAGAATTTATTTAATATTAATTTCTAGTATCAGCTGATGTTTGCTGGAGCCACAGCTGTAAAGCTGCTGGTCATGATATGGTTTGGTTATCTGGTGAGAGGGAAACATGAAGATGAAACCAGGAGATGTCCTTACTGAATCATCAGTGCTGTGATGGAGAAACAGGTTTACCTTTTAGGTAACATGAATGAGTTGAAGGGAAGTTATGAACTGTGTCTGAGAGATAAATAACACCAGGATCCTTTTCTAAGTAGTTGACAGCTGGTAACTGGGCAGGAGCGGGTCTAGCAAAGTGTTGCCAGGGGGGCAGGTAGGGCATTAACAGGGAAAAGGGGGGCACAAAGACATACTTTTCTTTCTTATTCTCATTTCATGTTTAGCTTTCAAAAAATAATTATCTGAATTTTACACCAAACGATTGATAGATTGATGCATATATACCATCAAAACAGTGTACATCACTGTCACAACAGCGTTTGTTTTCATTCAAAGGCTTTATGATTTTTCCTATAATGGTGGGCGGTCTCTAGTCAAAATGCCCGGGACGATTTTTTTTTTGTCCCAGTCCAGCCCTGTATGCAGCTCATCTGCAGTCTGGTGTTAAGATGGCACCAGTGTGTATGGCTGGCCGTCTTCCTCCTCCCTGCTTTAGACTCCTTTTTCTCGACTTTTGCATAGTACTACTTTCCCAGAATTTCCCAGTTTCCCGGTTTCTGAGTACAATCGAAAGCACCACAACTGCATTTTTCGTGTTGAATGTAAAAAGTGCACATGATGCTGTGACGTAGGCTAGAATCATGGCGGCGGTCAACGACGGTCCAGGCGTGGGATTTCTCTCGTGGAAATATGCACATTTTGTCCTTACTATTGGTAGGTGGCACAGTGCACTTGTGGCAAGTAAGCAAGCTAGAAGACTGGCAATCTTGCTGGGTATCCAGTTACGGAAGCAACAAATTAACAAGAGAATTCTGAGTAAAACCAAAGTTATTTTCCCTAGTAACTAGTTACTTTGAAAGTAACGAGTAACTTGAAGTAACTGAGTTACTTTTGATAGAAGTAACTAATAATGGAACTAAGTCACTAATTTATAGTAACTTACACAGCACTGATTTAGATGAGTCCTCAGCACTCTTCTCATCAGTTTTTCCAGTTCTCACAGTTCTCACACCAGAAACTGAAACACAATTCACAGCTTCAGTTTAACAATTGGGCATTGTAACTTGTCTTTTTCTACTGCTAATCTGTTAATGTTATAGGTAAGGTGGCATTATAAGACTTGATAGTCTTCCTAATTTCTCCTGTAGTTGTTCTTTTTTTAAAAAGCTGTATTATTGTTATTTTTGACTCTATTTGAGTGCAAAAAACAAACAAAAGAACATATCTGAAAGGTTTTGTCAACAGGCTTCATGTAAATCAGTGATTATGTTTATGCATTTTATGTATTATATGTATTTTTCAAACAACAATTATAAACAGAGAAGATTTAATATATTTTACCTGATGTAGGTGATGCCTCAGCACTCTTCTCTTCATCAGTCATTACAATCTTCAAATCAGAACCTAAAACATAATTCACAGCTTCAGTTTAACATGTCTGAAAGGTTTTATCAATAGGTTTCATGTATTTCAGTGATTATGCACACATATAGAAATTTTGCATAAAAAATAACTTTAAACAACAAAAATAAATATATTTTTTACCTGATGTAGATGAAGCCATCATTTGTATTCAGTGCTGTAACCACACAGGTGAGAGATATGAGTGTTCAAGCTTCTGATCAACGCATTATTTGTAGCTTCACAGTTGACACACCTTCAGGATTTGCATAACAGGTTTATATAGAGACAAAGACAAGCACACCTTGTAGACACCACACAACCTTTTACTGAACAGGATTGAAAGACTTGCTGCTCTATATGAACAGTTACACACTATGTAGAACAACTTTATAGAATTATATTTGTTCGCAGACGTTAGCAGCTGTCAGCGAATAGTTATCAGCTATTTTGAAACAAAAAAAGACACTTTTTATCTATAACAACAAATGAACTGTACAACAGAAAATGCAAGTGCTATTTATGGTCTCCTCATAACAATGGTAAGAAAATTAAACTGGCCCAATATGGCATGTTTGTTAATACAGGGATACACATGTTAATGTAATCTCTGGTCTCCCACTCAGAGACACAGGTCTACAAGTGTCCAGCATTCAGACGGCTACCTGAGGACACTCTTCATGTGAGAGAAAATCTGCTCACACAGACATGTAGAGCTAAATACTGTCAACAAGGCCTCTGCAATGTTCTGAAGACAGTTAAACTTGTCAGGTAGTGACGTCCAGCAGGTGAACATGCAGCTCCATGAACACACACAGCTGTGGATTCCAGCTGCGTTCGTAGTTCTGCAAACTTTGACCCCCACAGAGTCGAGCTTTTCAGTTCAATCAGCTGCATTTCAATGTCCAGCCAGTTAAAGCGAGACAAATCCAGCTGCTCATTAACCCTCTCAGGCTCAAATTAAGTTTTAGTTACAGGAAAAATCTGATATTTGGGGGAAATTATCAAAAAAAAAAAACAACTCATAAAATATGTATGTGGGATAATCAGGTTGTTAGTTTTTAACTGTTGCAAATCGGCAATGCCTGCCTCGAGAGGGTTAAAGCTTTTCTGGTTTGATCAGAAAAGAAAACATTGGGTCCATACGCCTGAAAGTCCCGAAAACACATTGTAAATTCTGTCTCGATTCTATGGATGTATCCCTGTATTTCTGCGGTGCTGATGCTGCGCTGAGCAGACAGCTCCTGAAGCATTTCAAGGATCAGAATGTGGAAATTTCAACATCATTGAGAAAACTGCCAGCCAGCAACGTCCCTCTCACTGGTAGGCTAAGTTATTTTTAGCCAGTTACAAGTTGAATATGGAAGTTGGGGTTGATAGCTAAGATACCGTCATTAAGTAGCAGCACAACTAGTGTTTCTATGTGAGCTCATTTGCAATGTGCACCGCTGGCCCGGCCATTTATTTTTTAATGCACCTTCTTTGTCAGTTTAACCCTTTAAAACTGGTCAGAGCGGGCATGCTCCGTTTTGCGTAACTATTTTTAAATCCCAGTAGC